ATTCAATAAATTACAGCGTTGCTGACTCCACTGCAACAGCGAGATGTTCATCCTTTTGCATGCATTTAAAACTACTGTTTTAAAACATAAAGTGCTCATTGCAATACACAAATCACGTAAGACCTCCAAGAGGGCAAGAGAGTCCAATTGAATTTCTTTGTACAGCGACGTTTCAGTTTCAAACGGACATTTGCAAAATAATCTAATGCGATGCGAGCTGTTTCAATGTACCCCTCCTCACCTCAATATTGAAGTATAAAAAGAGGGAACCAGATATCTTATAGCAGGGCCCATGCCACTGAGGGGGGAGGGGGTGGCCATAGCCCCCCACTTTTTTGCGAAGCAAGTAGTTTTAAAACTGCAATAAAAGTGGTAAGAAGCCTTGACCCCCTACATTTTTAGCCTTGGCTCCCCCCACTTTGAAATTCATGGCGGGGAAAGACTTTTTAAAATCGAGGGTAAAAGTGCGTGGGGTTCAAAGAAACGGTAAACGAAACACCTGAAAAAACATAACATTTTATCACAGGCTAAGCAATAGGGCCTGGGCATATTGCCCCTGCAATTTTTAGTAAGATAAATTGTTTATAATTGCAATTTGTAAGCAAGCTCTTTTTTGTCTATAACCCCTTTACTTTGAAGCTCGGGGGCGTGGCAGTTATGGAACTTCATCCTCTTTGATAATTGTTATGAAAACATTTTTTATTTTATATTCTTCTACTTACAACAGTAACCTCACTTTACAGGTAGTTACTATCGGCTAGCCTGGTGACAAGTTTACTAATTTTACAAAAGTTATAACATTTAAATAAATCATATGAGTGCAAAGAATCTTTAGAAGGAGAGCAGTTCAGGGTTTGTCCAAGTCTTATTGCGCATACAGAATATATAATAGGATGTGCGTATAATTATTGCTGACAGTTTTTTAATTATAAAATTACGGTGTTGGTAGTCAAGTTTTAGTTCATCACACATATCGATGAAAGAATCACAGGAGTTACCAAAGATACCGAGACAGCTGATAGATAGATTAACAAAGTTTACTTTTTTGAACTTAGGGCGTAGTTCCTTTAGAAGGGAACGGTACTTCTCAGCTTTACGCGAAGCGTTATTGTCCAGGTTAGTCTCGAACCCAACAGTTAATTCGATGACATACAGACAGTTAGAAGCAGTTTTGATTAGCATGTCGGGACGGAACGAATCGCCAGTTATGATACATGGTGATAAATAAGCGGGAATGTCAGCATATATGAATACATCTCGGATACATTGAAATGATGATGCAATGAAGTGCAGGGCAGAGTTGTGCCTCCAAGTAAAACGCCCTTGCTCAAGGTATTTGTTACATCCAGCTACGACATGAAGAAGTGATTCAGGCTGAAGGCAGAATGAGCAATCTGGAGAAGAGCTAATTTTCCATAAGCAGAGGTTGTTCCTTGTGGCTAGTGTGTTGTTGAGATACCTTATCGTAAAGTTGAAGATGTTTTTTGGAAGTTTACTTTGAGCTGCAGACCAGAGTGAGGTTAACTTTGTATATGAATGCTCAAGCAGGAATGAAATGATGAAGCCTTGAGATGTTAACTGAGTTTTGAGCTTTTCAGTGTGTTCATCCCTAATAAAAAGAATATTTATACAGGGTAAAAACTTGTCAATACTAAGAGTATTGTTATCGATAAGGGCCTTATCAATAAGATCAATAAGGGCCTTCTAGGCTGTGCAAGGCCAAGTGATTCGGGAACTGCTTTGTGTTGTCGCAAAAAGTTTAATTTTTTCTTACACATGTTTTTTGTAATAAACCTTTACAATGAACGGCCGAGCGGACAGAAAACGCCCAGTTCTAGCAAACAATGTCAAGAAAGATTTCCTATATTTTTCAGGGAAGAAATTGATGCCAGTTTTTTTAATGCAATGCTATGGGCTAATTGTCAAGCTATTATCCCTTGATAGGACATTGATAAGATAGGATAATTTGCTGCACTTTGATGGTTTTCTACCGCCACCCAAAAATTCAACTCGTACAAAAATTTAAGAGCTTTCAGTACTCAGAATTTTTAATGAAAAAATCGTGTACTTCTTATATGCTGCAAACTTTTTAAACGAAATATCGCTAATAAAAAATTCTAATCACCTTTTTCTGGAATTTTAATCTTCAACTAATTTTTAAGCTTAAGGTATGAAAAATTTTAAGAAACTGCCTCTGTTTTGTCACTTACGTAGCCTACGTGCGACATGAGACAATCCTTCATGAAGAAGGTTTGCACGAAAGATATCTGAACTCGCTGTAAACACTACTTATTCTTCATTAAGTCTGGATTGATTAAAGTTAAAAAACTCTAGAAAAAGTTTCACAACGTAAATCTACTCAAGCCACGAGCACGACACGAGAAACAAACAAGGCAAAGGGGAAA